CAATATATGCTATATTAGTACAAACCAGTTGGTTTGGTTCATCTTTAAGGAACTGCTGGGATATTCAATATATGTTATATTAGTAAAAACCAGTTGGTTTGTGTTATCTTTAAGGAACTGCTGGGATATTCAATATATGTTATATTAGTAAAAACCAGTTGGTTTGTGTTATCTTTAAGGAACTGCTGGGATATTCAATATATGTTATATTAGTACAAACCAGTTGGTTTGGTTCATCTTTAAGGAACTGCTGGGGTAACTTATCTGTTAATGTAGTTTTATTTGAATTATTTTTTTCTCTGTAATCTGTTTGTCACAAGCTTGCAGTGTCTCATCATGAGCTGAATGATAGTTCATGGGTTATGACATCCAACTATATTTGATATCTTGACATATGCCTAAACTGAATGGTAGTTCATGGGTTATGACATCCAACTATATTAGATATTTTGACATATGCCTAAGCTGAATGGTAGTTCATCGGTTATGACATCCAACTATATTAGATATCTTGACATATGCTTTACAGCAGGTGTCCATATCTTTGAAGAATATTCTATGTTTAGATATGTACCATCTGATATTTTTGTTTCTACTTGTGTCTGTGATCTGCTTCTGGATTGTTTTTTTTTCTGGTTAGTGTTTATGTTGCCTGATGGTATTCCCCTGTGGATGAGCCAATTGTATTATTTTCTCTTTTTTTTTTCTAAGTGATTTCATTAGTGTGAGTTGTCTGTGTTATTTCTTTCTTCTCACACATGCTTGCTTTTGAGCCCTTCTTTTTATTGGTTGTGGAGACATTTCCCCGCTAAATATTTTTTTTATGTGCCATATGTTTTAAAGACAGTGTTTAAACAGCACACTTCACAACCTTTTCAGCCTCAAGGACAAGTTGAATAACACATACAGTTTTATGCAAAAATATATGAAACAATACAAAGATTTTAGTATTGCAGCTTTTTAAAAAACATATATAATTTTGTATATTCTCATAAAATTTTCATGACAAACCAACACTAGTTCATGGATTTGGTGGTTGAGAACCACTGCTATAAGGCATATTGTCTAAAACAGGTGTCATGATACCATATCTAGATACAGAGCTACTGGTCTTAATTCACTAAGTAGGTGTTCTATAATCCTTCTCTTCACCTTCTATTTCCATTACATTTATTAATTGTTTGATCCCGTAGTGATCATGTGTTTTACTAATACCTGTTTTTACACTATTTTGAAATGTGAAGAACTTTGTGAACTGTAATGTTTATTTTATGAAACTACCTTGGTTAATTTTTACTCATTCGTAGTTGTTTTTTGGAGTTGAAGTAATATTCGCATCACATGGTTTAGCTGTTATTGTCTCAATGATGAACTCGATAAATTTTGTTTGTGTAAAATTTAATGTAGTTTATTGTTTGTGTGCTTAGGTTCAACTAAGTGTAATTCTTTAGCCAGTTCTTGAGATCTTTAATAGATTTTGTATGCAGCAGATGTTGATTTATGATCCATAGTTACAAATGAGTAATCTGTCAGGACTTGGACAGTGTGTGGACCCTGGATAATCTGCATGGAAAGTCAAATAGTGCTCTCCAGGAATAGTGTCCACTCAGAAGTACACATTACAGTTACCTAGCAAATATATATATAGTTTGTATAAAGTTGAGTGTAGACATTAACTTGTTCCACAAATCAAATGGTCAAAAATCCATTGAAAGTTTGGTTATTATTTAAAAGAAAACTCAATATATGAAGTACCTAAACTGTTATCGTTTATCGAGAGGCAGTAAGGTTCACACTTGTACACGATTTGTATTTTTGTTACATTTTTTCTAAAATGATTTAAAAGATATTTTCTCTGTATTTTTCACACTCACAGGTGATTTTGCCATGTTGTTAAAAGCAGGGATGTCTGTGAGGCAAGCCTTATTCTATAATGGCATTTCTTCTTTTCTGTGCTTTTTCGGAATGGTGATTGGTTTGGCCATTGGGAAAATTAGCACGGCTAGTATGTGGATCTTTGCTGCAGCGGCTGGAATGTTTCTGTATATTGCCTTAGTAGACATGGTAAGTGTGCTACATTCACATTTTTTATGCCTGTTCACAACTTTGTGTTACTTGTTTTTTTAATTGAATTATTTATAACAGGTTACTGATGTTGATATTCCTTCCAACGATTTTTTATGAAATTTTAGTTCTTATATGCTTCGATATAATTTTTTTTCCCCAGCTTCCTGAACTTAGTGTTAGTCCAAACCAGCTCAAGAACAGTAGCAGAAACCAGTTAATCATTCAACTTTTTGGAATATCATTTGGTATAACCATCATGTTGGTTATAGCATTGTATGAACATGATTTGATGCAAGTTATCAGTTGATATACATGGCCCCCAAATGTATGTATTTTTGGGTGTAGAGGGGTTTTCCAACTAGTGAGGATGAAGGTAAGGGAAATTATAAAAAAATATGAGGAGGTAAAACTTGAAAGCGAGTATTTTTAAATGTTATATGAGGTGATTAAGTTAGAAAGAAAGAAAAATGTTACAATATTACAGGGGATTTTGTGATATATAGACATAAATTTTTTTCTAAAATATAAAACATTTTAGATCATTATAATTGCTTTTTTTTGCACCTGACTCCTTCTGCTGGTTGTATATTTTGTATCTTACAATTTATTATAAAAAACAATTATGAAATAATATCTTGTAATTAAAAAAAAAAATGCACCCAATGAAATAAAATGTACGTAGATAAGTAAGACAATCGAAGAAGTATGTTCAATTTTATGTGAAATGTGTAGAGAGAACATAGAGATAAGCTTTAGAAAAAATCAAGAAGAAATATAAAAGGATTATTTATAAAAGAAACATCACATTCATGGTGTTATTTAACAATCCCTGTGTAAAAATGGTAAAATATGTGTAATGATGGTGAGTTAGGAGCAAGTTAAGCTGTTGCTCCTAACTGTTAGAAGTCCGAAAGATGACCTTGAATAAAGTTAGATGATATTGACTAATACACCCAAACATAAGCCGTTAATCTCGTTTGAAGGTCAGTCAATGATAATACACAAAACTCATCATAATATCATTGCAAGTTTTCTGATCCTGCATTGAAAATAATGTAGACTATAGTTGTAACAATTGATAATATATATATATTTGCTTTTAATCCCTGTCACTTTAAAATCAATATATACATATATAGAATTTTTTTGATGAACCTTTGATAAGAATAAAACACTTCAAAAATGCATGTAATTTGAATATCATTATAATTTCTACAAGACCATATTTAGTTCTTACCTCTTAACATGTACTGGCCATTAATTGTCTTATGCTAAAAAATACAGGAATGGCATATATTTATAGGAATCTGGGAATCAAAGTATAATAAATTATGGAAATCCCACACCAGAATAGAAATAGGAACAAAAGTTAACATAAACTCATTTTAAAAGAATTTTTGGAGACATGAAATAAGAACTTCCAAAAAAGAAAATTAATATGGTATAATAAATTGAGGCTATAAGATTATTGCTTGGGCAGTATCTTAATTTAAAATTAAAAATAATTTGTTTGCTGTTTTCTATATACATTAACTTGAAAATACTGTTCATTTTATAACTTACAAGATATCATAAATTTGAGCTTTAAAAACCTTTTTTTTTTTTTACTACAAAAAGTTTTGGAAGTTTAGGAAAATTCAATGAAATAATGGAAAACACCTGGAGTTTTAAAAATATGAAAATAAAAGACATTTTTATCTGATGGCCTGTGTATAGTACTTCTTAAAAAAACGCATTGCTACAAAAAAAAAAAAGAATTGAGATAGCAGAAAAGTAAAAAAAAAAGTAGGTAGTTTTTGATTGAAGGATTAAGATTTATAAAGTTTTAAATATTGAGACAATTTAAGCAGTTGAAATATTTGTTTTTAAAAGTGCATTTTCTGATAACTTTCTATTAGACAATCTTCTTGAGAATAAATCTGTTTGTGATATAAGAGGTAGGAGTCAAGTTTAAGCTGATAATGAGAAACACGAGTGCATTTAGTTTGTATTTTGAATAAATTACTTTTCTTTATAGCATTGTATTATTATTTTTATGCTACTTTCAAAATATAAAAAATCTGGGTGTTGCTACTGTATTATTATTATTTTGAACCAAACTTTTGTAAGAAGACATTTCTATTTTAATTGATACGTTACAACCATTTACGAAAACATGCTACTTTTGCACACATGTACTCCCCCTCAAAAAATATTTATATTATACTTTAGTATATATATCTTTTGGGTGTAAAATATGTTTAATATCTGATTCTATATCAGTACAAAAACACACATCAAGCATACAGACAAGAAATATTACTAAGTATGGTACTGAGGCTGTTAGTCCTAAAATCTTGATGTGTACCGTATTGGTCATATGTGTATACTGTAGAACAACCTGTACGTCTTGGATATACCAAGAATTATTAAGCTTTAATCCACTTTGGATGTATTTATATTGTATTTCATTTGAGATGAGTATTGAATTAATACTTTTACTACTTCTGCAGAACCTCTGTATCTGTTTGTATGCTTGAGAAGTATGTCTATTTTTAGCATACCATTTAAGTGCAGTTTGATAGAAATATTATTGCCATCAAATAACCATTATTCTATTTAACATATTTTCATAATACTTTAGCGATTTACGATGGTAATTATTTACTTTAACTCCATTTCCTAGAATTTCAAGCTTTCAAAATTGGCTCCTAAGAAAAAAGTTATTCCTAGAAGCTTATTCAACTTTCTTACACTATTGTTCTTGCGATTATAGGCTCTTCTCCAACACGGTTTAATGTTTTAGTTGATTTTGTGCTACTACATGCTGACTAAAAACTTATTCATCCTAAATGCTATATTTTCTGTAAAAAAGAAAAGAAAATAGTATTGAAAATGTATAAGGTAGATGTTTTGTTTTTACATTATTTTTATATTTTGACTTCTTGTTTTATTGAATTTTCAATATATTTTATACCTTGGAATAACTTTCAGTTTTGATTTTTCTCCGGTCAATGTTCGGTTTTTTTTTTTCAAATGCTTTCAGTGTATATTATTGATATTTTAGAGTTTCAAAGTCTGCTTTCTGAGTATAAAGTTGTCATAGAGCTAGAAGGAAATTGATTTATTTGCAACTAAAATTTTTATATTTCACGAATGTTCACACCTTAAAGTGTAATGTATAATTATCCCCAAGTTGTTGTCTGATTCTGTAGAAGTGTCAGAACAAATGGTATAACCTAGGTGTCATTAAGGATGACATGAAAATTGAACAAAGAAAAGACAACGTGTGATAGATCAAATGCTATGCTAATTTTATTAGAGTTTTTTTATACAAAAATATATTCAAATAGTAGATAATAGAATCGTAATTTTTCACAGTAGCAAATCACTTGTTAATTTTTACGACTATGTGAGACTGCATAGAAAACAAAGGTGATGCGTTTTATTAACAAATAATAATTTGTTAGAAATGCTTTGTTACTAAGAATCAAATAGGTATGAAACTAAAAAAAAAATTATTAAACTCAATATACAATTTATAAGCTAATAATCAAGATTATTCACATGAAATAGAGATTGTCATTAAAAAAGCATTTCATGGCAAAATAAAATTTATGTAAACCTAGTTAGCAATTCGAAATGAATTTTATGTAAGACTAAAAAAATAGTTTACTTTAAAACATTGAATATCATCAGCATTTAGATGATAAAATGTATTTGTAATTTTTATTATTTATACCCTATGTTTTTTTTTCAGCATATACATACGATCTTAACGATGTTTAATTGTCTTTACATTTTTGAGTTATTTCAAGTCTCACATTTTTTAATCTGCATTTGTTTGTTTGAAAATTAAAGAATTGATACTATACTCTGAAAAGTGTTGCACTTTCTTCTATGATGTTCATTGATATAAATTAATCCTTTGGAAACTTACATCTACTTTCATTAAAAGTGGATTCTCAAAATACAAATTATATTAATATAACAACTTCATGCATAAGGTAAAAACTTTATTATAAATATTAATTTCACTACCAACATGGCCAGGTGGTTAAGGCGCTCGACTCGCAATCTGAGGGTCGCGGGTTCAAATCCCCGTCACACTC